GATATAAGCCTTTCTTTATCATCCCTCAAGGGTCATACCCCATCCTAACATTTTATTTACCCTTAATGTATTTAAAGAAATCCTTACTATTAACTGTTACATTTTCAACCAACCTTTTTTCATACATATTTTTGAATTGTGTTTAAAGAGCTTAGGAGAGAAACTCCACAGTGGAGCACTGTCAATGAAACCCACATTGGCTGGGCGAGAGGAGTTGCTTGATTCAAAGAACCAAACAAGAAGCATATTAACCATCTTCTCCAAGACCTTAACAGACAGCTAGTCAAAGCAATTGGACAATAATTAGAAGGAATCTTGGGATCTTCACAGGCTTTGAAAAAGGGAGAACAAAGGCCTTGCACCAAGCATCAGGAACAACATCATCCTGCCAAATCTGGTTAAAAGCAACCAGAAGAAGAGCAAGAGAGGCAGGAAAGAGATGGCGCAATATCTCATAGTGAACAACATCAGGTTCGACTGATGTACTGCTAGACTGATGAAGAGGAAGCTTAAGTTCCACCAGTGTAAATGAGTGATTATAATCGTAGAGATGATTAGCCTGAAAAGAAAGGGGTGATCTCTCCACCGGAGACTTGATGGCCAAAAATGCTGGAGAAGAGATAGAAGTGCTGAAAAGGTGGGAAAACCACTAACCAAGAGTATTGGTGATGCTCTGTACATCAGCAAATTCCTGCCCATTGGAGAGCAAGATGTTAAGGTCATGGAAAGCATACTTCCAATTGAACTTCCAAATCTTGTTCCAAACAACTTTGGAACTGGTGGTAGAAGAGATGCTTGTGGTGAACTTAATCCAAGATTCCTTCTTGCTTTGAATTCTAACTTGCAGAGCATAGGAACGGGCCCACTGGATAGCAAGGTGGTTGGAAATAGTAGGATACCTGCAGAGGATATCCTAGTCCCATTTCTGAGCCTTCCATGCTTGTTGGCAGGCAGGAGTCCACCATGAATAAGGAAACGTGTCGAGGTTTTGGGGGAAAAAGAATAGTTGCCTGAATAATACAATCAGATACTGCCTCCACACAGTCATTAATAGATAGAAAACTAATGGCAGCATGATAAAGTTCTGAGAGAGCAGTGAAGGATAGCCAGTTAGTCTGCTCCAACTTCCATCGTGGCACATGGGTCGAGTGGCATTGACTGCGACAAATCTCCCTCAAAATGATCACTGCCCCATGGGTCACTGTCAACCATCCAAGAAAAGAGTGAAGGTGAACAGATAGATAGATTGACAGCAGTA